AGTTTTAATGGAAATTAAAACGCGTCTTGCTCTGTACTTATTTTATATAAAATATTTCAAACTATTTGTAGCTAGTAAGTAATTCACGACATTTGGCTATGTGTTCTATATAGTCTGTATACATTTTTTTTTAACTGTTGGTATCTAAAACTAATCTAAATCTAATCCAAATCTTTGATGAATACATATTGCTTTTGGCGTTAATCAATTTTTAAAGATATATAAAAAGTTCTTTGTATTATCAGCTGATAAGTCAAGCTGCCATTTTTGAATTTTAGTTTAAAAAAATTTTTAAATATTAAGAACTTTCCAGTTAAAAGTTTGCATCGACGCGATTCATACGAAATCAAACCTATTATGCAACTTCTGGTTACCCGCAAATAGAAATCCCTTTGCTGCGCACTGTCAGCTTTTATTGCCATCATAGGCTCTGCTCTCACAGTAGCAGCAGAAGGAGATACGGCGGCGAGTCACTCCAACGACAATCAGAAGAACAACAATAACTAGCCATTAGCCTCTGAGCCGTTCTGAGCCCTATGACCAAACGTGGAGCCCAAGGGCCACTAAACAGCCGTCAAAATCATTGCCATTAAGCAAAAACAATGAAAGACATAAGAGCAACGGTCGGTGCTGGTCTCTGGTCAACTACAAGCCTTAACCCGTCAGCCACATGCCAGGAGCAGCCCACAAGCTGCACAAAAAATAACTGCGCGAAAAAACTGGCGGTCATGGTGAAGTTGTTAGCAAGGTGGTCGGCTCAAGTAGCTTGTGGGCCATTATTCTTTTTTTTACCCCCTTTTCGTTGGTCGTTTGGGGAACTTTGCTCTATTTCCGCCGCTGTCTGGCTGACATTTTAGCGGGCAATGCGCGAGGGGACGTTTGGGTTGAGTGGAAGGGCAAAGGGCAGCGTAGGAGTGTGTCTCGCGGCATTTGTTTGGCGCACTGTGCCGGCGGCGACGATGGTGGCGGCTGTCAGTTGCTTTATGAGACGCGCATCGGACTATGTGTGCAGTTGTTCGTCCTTCTACTTCCTGCGCCTTTGTGCCAGCATTTTGCATGCAAAGCGAAAATGTTGTCGCTGTTTAATGTCAAACGTTGGCATTGTTTTTTCCCTCTTTTTTCTCCTGCGTAAACCAAGTGTTGGTCCAGCAGCCATTGTTTTCAAGTTGGCTCTGCGGACTCTAAACTCTGCGTGTTTGCTGAACAGTTGCAGACATTTTTCTGCCCGATGCGTTTGTCCGCCGTATTGAATGTGCGTCGCGCTGTTTGCGCTGTCTTGACGAATTTGTCTAGCTGAGTGGATAGATGAGTGGATGGTTAGCCCCCAGTGATGGATGATGATAAAGAGTTTAAACGGCCGGCACTTTAATTGCATTGCTGAGAGCGCGGACAATTGGTTTAAACTGGACATATTAGAGAAACTGAGACGAGTTAAAACCTAAATGTACCATCAATTTCAATTGAAATGATTTTCTGAGATGAATTCGAATTTATAACAGAAGGGCTTACTTATGTTAAGAAAGGAAATAGAATACTACCTCGAATTACCTTTTTAAAAACTACCTAGGCACAAACCCTACGCATTTCAAACAGGTTATATATTTGCCGATTTCGCTTGTTTCCAAAATGTTTACAACCCTAAAGAAGCACATCTATTTAATGTGTGCAACTTTTTACTCGAGTTTTCCACGAAACTTTATCAAAGAAAATTTCTGAATTCAAGTTTGAATTGCATTTATAAATATTTCATTATGTATATAGTTTTATTTTTTAGTTTGAGTCTACGCTATTTTTCAAATAAACTATTCTTCATTCTAAAATGAATTTGTTTGGCAAATTTGCCAGCAATTGCATTATTTGCTAGATGGATGTACAAAGCTTCTACCGTCTATTGTTTTATGTCTAGCATCCCCAGGCGATATTGATAAACACACACTCACACAGAGACACGCGTACAAACATTCGTAGCATTAGGGAAGGGTACGCGAGCAGAGCCGCGAGCACAATTTTGTATAAACAAATGTGCGAGAGAAAAAAATCAGTACAAATGACACGCTCAAATGCCTGAAATGTTTTTGTTTGCAATCATATTATATTTATGCAACAAGCGCTGTTATTTATTTTTTTTTAGCTCTCGGCTTCCACTCATCTGCGCTGCCCAAGGGGCAGTTTTCAATATGGTGGGCCCCCTTATGTATGCTACACTTTTTTCGAAATGCGCAAACAAAGCGTTGAGTGCACGGCAGCGTGTACATGTGTGTACATATGTACGTACGTGTGTGTGGGTTTCGTGTATCACTCACTTGTCTGGATTTCAGTCGGCAGCTAATGCGACTCAATGTGCGTAGTTTGGGTTAATCAAGGCTCGAGGTTTTTAATTTTATTTATCATGCTGCGTTTTTCATTTGTTTTCCTCCTTTTTTGACGAAAATGTCGCTGCGGCTGTGTGTTTGTGATTTCATTTGGTTTATTTACTTTACGCCCACACCTCAATTATTCAGTTTTTATTTGCATGTTTTGCAACGGGACAGCTTTTTTGCTTTTTTAATGCTTAAATATGTACACACATACATATAAATATATACACACATATGTGTGTATATACATATACTTATATATATCAGCGCTATATCAGCCCAATGCTCAACCCAGCAGTGTCGCGAACGATGGCGCAAAAAGCTTCAACTTTATTATAACGTTCTGTTGTTGTCTTTTTTTTTATTTTTTTATGGGCTATGGTTTAAGAGCATGTGTGTGACTGACTGTGTGTGTGTGTGAGAGTGTGTGTGTGTTACGCCCTTTTTTCGGACAGTGCATTTTTAATATAATTTTTACAGCCGGCGCGGCTCAGCCCTCTCTTGCACTTACACAGACCACCAACCCAGTGAAATTTTTTCACATTTTCCATTTTAATTTTATTTTTTCGTTTTTGAATGTTTTACGCTTCCAGTTTTTTCTGATGCCAACCAAACACCCCCCCACCCACCATTTGCAACTATGTTTGCAGGGGGCGTGCCTGGCTCGACGGTCGACTCTGGGGGTTGGTTGCCGCTGCCTCTGCCGCCCATTGGCAACTGTCCGGTTTGCAGGTGGTTCGCATCATATGCGAAATGTTCGCGGCGCGCTTTGTTTTTATTTTTTAATTTCTTTTGCGGAATATTGTGGTGGGGGTGCGGGGAAGGGGCAACGTAATAAGCAGCCAGCGTTGTCAGGCGACACATGTGTTGGTTGGGTGGGTGTGGGTTGGGTCGAATGGACGGATGGCTTGCAGTAAATATTTTTGCCTTATAAGCAAAAAATAATAATTTTAATGAATTTTTATTTGTGCGTCTGTGTTTGCGGGCCAGTGTTTTTTTAATTAATTAAAAATATATTAAAAATTGCATAATATTTTAATTAAAAGTGGGGCGGTCGCAGATAAATCATTCAACTAACCAGCTTATGGCGTTCAAACAAACATTTCAACTTATGAGTTCCGATTAAAATTGTATTAACAACATCTGCATGTTATACTTAGTTATGTATTCAATAAGTAAGTTACATTAAACGATTAACATTAGCTGTATTTAATAATAAGCAGAAGAAATCCCAATCACAATGCCACTTTAAGCAGTTAATCATATAAATTCATTTCTATGCAAAAAATTAAATAAACACACGAGCTACTTTAGTCATAAATAGCTTACATAATATGTGCCTGCTTGAATATGCATCATAGCTACTTGGCTGCTCTTTTTGTGCGAATACGACTATTTACTAAACGAGTACTACTAGTATGTATATGAATAAATGGAAAGCCACGCCACCGCTCCACTTAATCACTTGGTCACGAACTAATCGACGAACATTTATGAAATTTCTAGACCATGCCTACAATATTCGAAAAGATCAAACATATTACAATTATTAAAACATAAAAGTTTTTCTAATAGGAGTCCCACAATGTGAGTTCGTTCGTTCAAAAGGCACTCAGTTCGACCATCATGACAGAAGCATCATTTAAAAATGTCAAAGTTATCATAAAATTTAATATTTCTCCAACCTAGGACAGATCTTAACAAGAGGGAACGCTACAGTCGAGCAATACTGACAGGGAAATACTAATAACTTTTCCCAGAATTAACCGATTTGGATGAAATTTGAAACAAAACGTCGTATATAGATTACATGTCCAAAGTTTAGTTGATGTAGCTTTTGAAATGTGGACAGTATTGACAGTATTCTGTAGCGGGGAGAGAGGAAGGGATAATAGAAAACATTAAATAAACTCGTATAGACTTAGGGACTAGGAGCGTCTGCATACCAAGTGCGCGCAGCCGTTTCCAGGCGTTCAGCCAGACAGACGGACATGTCTAGATCGATTTTTCTCGTCATGCTGATCAAGAATAAATAAATACTATATACTTTATGGGGTCGGAGATGCTTACAAAATTTGCACAAAACTAATATACTCTTTTTACCTTGCGGGTACTCTATACCCTAAAATTAAATATGTACAAAAATTTTGAATTTTTGCTCATTTCATTTTTTGGAATCTATTTAAAAAAAATTATTATTAATTTATTCTAAAGAAATATGATTTAATGATTTTAAATATTCTTTAAGTCAATTTTTTATTATTTGTAAACCAATTGTATTTTAAATATTTAAAATGTAAATGAATCTTTTTGAATAGCGTATTTTTTAAAATTATTAATATAAAGCAAGAAAATAAAAAGAGTTTAAATAATAGACAAAGTATATATATATATTCGCGAGTTGTATTTTTAATTAAACGATGTTTTATTTAACAAATTTAAATAAAAGTACATACAAATAATTAACAATTAATAATTTAAAAAATTATTTATGCAATTGAAATATAAGCTATTGTTTTACAAAGTTTTTGCATCACCTAATAGCACCTGAACAATTTTTATAGTTTTTAGTCAGCATTTCGCGCACGATTCACTTGTCAGAGAGATCGGCCGAATGCATTATACATTTAAGGACTCGGACTGTTCTGTGTGTTCCAAAAGTCGCTTTCGGAGATAATTTCGATATGGACTTTGTTCAAAAGTTCCAAACGAATGTAAGCTTTTAATTGTATTATAGTAACTCATGACCCCCCGATGTGTTATCACCTTTTAGCACTGCTTGGTATTAAAAAGTAGGGTTGCTCCTCACTGGGACAGAAGAATTTTTGAAAGGGTTTTCGGAACTTGCGAGGCTTCTGGTCATCTGGCGAGAGCATGCTGTTCCAGAGCATGTTGGCCAACACCGCGTGTCCACGCTGGCTGAAGTGGAAACAGTCGTGGCCAAAGTAACGGAAATCTGTCTGACCATCTAGCGTTCTGGGAAGTGTGATGTTTGCAATCATCGGATGGGCAATGATGGCGAAATCCTCTCGCTGAAATTCAGGCAAAGCTGCCACGTCCAGCTCGATTTGTTGCCAACGCTGTATGAGCTTCGAGAGCTGTTGGCGCTTTGCTTCGCTCAGACGATCACTGGCCAGACAGGCGCAGGCTATGCGATGCACCACAAAGCATTGGAGAGGCAATGGAGACATGGTCTGAATGGGTTTTATTAGATTGGGCACCACCACCAGATTGATCAGCAAACGCGGCACATTATCGCGCAGGAGTGTAAAGGCGCGGTGAAGATCCCTAGCATGTCGATCTAGCATCACATTCACATCATCCCAGTGGCAAAGATCCGAGCACAAATCATTGTTACCGACAAAAACGGTGAGTAGTTTCCAATGCCGGTCCATATCTACGTGAGGATCGCGACGCAGCAAGTCGATGAACACGCGTGCTTGAAAGGGCAGATCGTGAGACATGATCATGGGCTCGGCTATATTCAAACGCGCCATATTGTGATTCACCACCAGACTATTGTCCACGGCATAGCCATAGAGGTTTGGGTTGTAGACCTTCAGTATGTTGGGCAGCGTTAGAAATTGGCGCCAGTTTCCTAGACCCCCACCCGAGAAGGTCATGCCGCGGAATTCGTTGATCATGTCGAGCGCAGTGTTGGACATAATGCCATTGCCAGCGGACAGCGAGTCGCCGAACGCGGCTATAATGTCTATATCACCCGGCCGCAGTCGATGTACCGATATGGGTGGCTTGGACGAGCGCGAATTGTTGAGCGGGCAGGGAAAGGGCACTTCTCTGGAGATCCGTGCCTGCATTTTACCCTCCCGATTGTTGCGCGTACTCAGCGAATTTATATTTTGCTGAGCCAGGCCTAGTGTGAGGCGTCGTGTGCCGAGAAACAGCTGACGTAACTCCCGATCGAAATCGGTGTATTGCAGGCCCCCATTAATCGCCCGACGCGGATCATAACGTTGCAGCTGGACGCCAATGCTCGCCAGCAGCTGATGAGAACGATTCTGGCGCCGCACACGACGATGGGCAGCCTCAGCTGGTGGCTCAACGCTCCAGAGTAGCAACGATAGCAAAACTATATAGTAACATGATTTGAACATAATTTAAATTATTTTCACGAGCTTCGCTCCACACACACTGACTTCTTAACGCCTTCTCGTTCGGCACGCAAATGCGATGTTGTCTTAAATGCCGCTATAAGCAAACCTTATTCCTCAACTACAAGTACAGACAGCATCAGCTTATAGTACGTACGAGTATAATGTACTCGTATAGTATGGTAGTAGCATAGCCTCTAGAGACGACATGAACAACACTCGTTCGCACTCATTTCTTCCATCATTAAATACAAAACAAAACAAAATAAAAACACATTTAAAGCTCACAGCCGAAATACAGAACTTGACTTAAAAGTGTTGACCGAGACATTAAATATCATAATGACAAAGCGCCAGACAAACAGCAGCAACAACAACAACAACAACGGCAACCACAGAATGCGTCGGTACCCCAAATTCAAAGTGCGTTGGGTTCAAAGATATTGGCATACTCGCATACATACACACATACATAAATAGTATAGTATGTGCGAGTAAAACAAGATTTTATAAACAAAAAATAATTACCTTGTGGCCACCTCAACAGCACAAGCTTTGATGCTACATTACTCGTATATTCGTATATTCGTAGTATAATAAAACGAAATATTTGAGTAAAAAACACTATTAATAATATAGAGCTGCTGTGACATAACACTAAGCTAACTGGGTAACAATCTCTGGGACAGGGACGTAGAACACTAGCTGGAGGAAGTGATTTCAGGTTCTCTTATTTTGTAATCGCCTTAAAAAAGAGGGGCTTATCAATTCGTCAGTAAATTTTTTCTATTTTTCGATCTATAGTATATTGTCATTTAGGTAGAAAATGTAAATCCCAGACTTGACAGACTACACAATCTTTGATTAGTCGTTTTCTTTTTTCGTCAAAGTAATTTAAACAACATAGGTTTTAGTTAATACTAATTATTTTGTGAAGCATGAATAAATTGATATTTGTAGTACTACTATACAAAGATACTTAGGGATAGTTAGTTCTTGTCGTCTTCAGTTTTAGTAGTGAATTTCTGATATTATCAATAGTTAGTGTCCATCCAAGTGACATTGTCGCCGTCAGTTTTGTGACCAAACTTGAAAAGTTAATAGCTTACACTATGTTTTGACTGGAAATATATTTACATACATATGTTGGATCGAAATCGAACCGTTCAGTCTCAATTGTTAGGGAATTCTCTAGGGAATGTCTCTGAGTAGGTCAAGAGATGTGCATGTTGGTTTCCAAATTTCACAGATGTGTAAATTGGTATGATAAGAACCCTATAGATACATAGTTATAATGAAGTTCTTATAGTTGAAAAAGTAAGGCCTTTCCATGTATAATAAATATATATATTTTCTTTCCAAGTGTTCTTAATAATTCCATACTTGTAGCTTAAGGCCTCGGAGCTATAGCTTGTTCTTACTGTTCGTATGTCGAATTCACATCGCATAGGAACATTTCATAAATAAATAAATAAATTCCATACCTGACAAGATTTCTAAATTGAATTTTATTTCCCAGGGGTAAAATTGTAAGCCTTAATCTAATGTAATGGAGCACAAGTAGTGTAGATTCATCTTTGAATAAACTCTCTATAAAGTTTCTATTGTTTCTACACAATTTATTGGCGAACCACATTCAATTCATTCTGATGTAATTTAATTCAAATTTGATTCTGTTTATTTCACAAAATTGTAAAGATTCCATTACTTAGTAAATGGACATACTTGAGGGACATACTTATAGATGAACTACTTTTATGAAAATACAAGACATTTAAAGCCAATGTAGACAGTTTATTGAGAAAAATAATTCAGTTGCCAGAGATTTCAATCGGTAGGAACGACCTTCTCGTAAATCAGACCTCAGCACGCCTCTGCCTCTGCCCCATGCCGGGGCATATCTGCACAAATGTTAAGCTACCTGTTCCAGCTGCTCATTGTGGCTTAAAGACAGTTGTCACGCACGAGATTGAATCGAAACAACATATAACAACAACCTTTGCTCGTAATTGCTCGTAAGCCAATTTTGAATCATGGATGGTTGTTATTTATTTATAACTTGATTAGATTATGCGGTAGAACTTCAAAATAAGACGCTTAGACGTTTTTAACAGTTACTTTATTGAATAGCGACAGTGAGCAATTTTTCGTTATTAGCCGGTCACTTGAAATCCAAACAACTTATGCCTTCTCATGGAATTTTTTCATAACAATTTCTTGTTTTGATACAGTTAAGAGGGTCTTGCATTCTTGTTGTTTTGATCTTGAGGTTGGTTATTGACCGAAAAGAGCAAATGAAACGAAAATTAAAAATATTTAAATGCAAAATATTTAAATGAAATGAAGTCTAACTATAAATAAATGTTGCAGTTGCTGACTCATGTGATGTGTTGTGTGGCTGCCTCGTAAGTGCCTTGCCGTTGCGAGACGTGACGAGTTTTTAAGGCGTGTTGTCAATGTTTTTAATCTTTTTGGTTTTTTTTTTTTCTTTTGTAGATGGGCTCTAAGTGCGCCGAAGGCTATGCGATTGGGGCGTGCTTAACAGGTTTAGGTACTTCCGCTTGCAGTTCATCATTGCGGATTCTCAGAAACGGCTGCTGCTCGCTGGGGCAGCTGAAGTACTTGAGTGGTTTTTTCAAGTCCTTGGTTCTGCTCAGATCGGGCGCGCCGAGCATGCTGTTCCACAGCAGATTGGCGAGCACGGCATGGCCGAGTTGGCTAAAATGTGCGCAGTCATTGGAGAAGTAACGCAAGTCTGTCTTGCCATCCGATTCCCTTCTGAAGAGCGAGTTGAAATTTTGAAATATATTGTGCGGCATTATGGCGAAGTCGTCGCCTCGAAATTCTGGAGCATTAGCCATTTCGATTTGCATGTGGTGCCAACGTTTGATCCCCTCCAGATACTGTGGCCGGTAGTTGAGGCCAATGCAGGAGGTGTGATACATGCGTTGGCACATCTGAGGGGAACCACGCATCCGTTGCTCCAATTCGGTAATATCGGGCATCAGGATGAGATTGATTAGCAGTCGGGGCACATTATCGCGAAGCAGCGCGAACGTGCGATGCAAATGCTTTGCTTGTTCGCGCAAAAACAGCTCCATATCATCCCAGAGACACTGATGCATCAAAACGTCATTGAGGCCCACATAGATCGTCAATAATTTCCAGTGCCTGGCCATATCCACGTTCACATCTCGCTGCATTCGGTCGATCAGCACCTGCGCCTGAAAGGGCAGATCCCTGACAATCAGCATGGGTTCGGCGATATTAAGACGCGCTAATTGCTCCTCGGCCACCAGACTGTGGGACACGGTGTAGCCATAGAGCTTTGGATTGTACAGTTTCAGTATGTTGGGCAGAGTGAGGGATGTGCGCCAAGTTTCGATGCCACCGCCCGAGAAGGTCAGACCACGAAATTCATAAATTGTGGACAATGGAGTGGTGGACAAGATGCCGTTTCCTGCCGATATGGAGTCCCCGAAAGCTGCAATCACATCTATGTCGCCCGGACGCAGCTGGCTAATGTCTGTCGGCGGTTGGGCGGAGCGAGTGTGATTCAAATTGCAGGGAAATGGCGCGTGTCGCGGCACCGAACGCTGTATTTTTCCCTGCCAGGCATTGCTCGCTTTCAGCCAGCCCATCCGAGTCATTATCCAGAGCAGCGCCGCTTTGCGCACATAAAGCATTAAATTGCGCATACTGTCCAAATTGGTGTAGTACATGAGTCCATTGCGACTGGCGGAGGCACTGAATTGGGTGCGTTGATAGCCTTCACGTTCCAGCAGCTTCGGCGTGCGATTTGGCAGCCAGAGCTGTGGACTGGCAGAGACAAGGCAGAGCAGGACAATCGCGTAAAGGCTGCGTATACTGAGTTTTCTCATGCTTGGTCTTAAACGCGGCGACTGTTTGTTTAATTATGCTCCGCTCTCGTATTTTCGCTTCGCTTTTAAAAACTTATCCAGCAACCCCAATATAAATGGGATCAGATGGGGTTTTTTAGGCTTTCACGGAATCTCTGCAGGTTTAATGACTTCCAAATGGGTAGAGCGTGACTCTTAATTGACAGCAGATGTTTGCAATTAAATTGCAGAAACATTGCTTAGGAAATGTGTTAATTATCATGGAAAGCAAATAAAATTAAAATATCAAATTTTAATAAGCTTTTATGAATTGCAATTATTGTATACTCTATGCATATAAAATGTTTATTTTGTTCCTCACTAAGAGACATTCCTGTTCCCGATTTTGATGAAACTTTTGATTATAATGAGGCATTATACAGAATGCATAAATGAAACAAAATTTGTCAAGGATATTTATGCACGTAAGAAAGTTGTTATGCTTACAGGAGGTTGTGTACCGATCGCTGCTGTGACAGCTGTACAATATATTGAGGACTATATAGTGACGTATTCACGTACATACACCCACAGCACAAAAGCTATTAAATAAGGTATTAAATAACTTCTTATTGTAATATATACGCAATAAGGTACAGCTTAGTTAAACAAATAAACAGTTTCTGCTTTTGGGAATATGCAGTCATTCAACCGAGGTTCTTCATTGTTCGCAAACTTTATGTTAGTCTTAAGCTAATTAAACGTCAGTAAACATTTTTGATTTTAAATATAGACTACACAATAATATAAGGGTAATATGGGTCACTGTAAATGAATCACGGATGTTTTCAAGCACAACTTTTAAAGTGGCCTGCAACATTCTATTCACTTGCGGCAGAGCAAGCAACTGTTTCGGTAATTGTTAGGTAGAAAACATATTATTTTTAAATCTCAAATAGTTGTACTAAGAATAATGTGCTTTTAATACAAAGTTAAAAATAGTCTCTTATTATCGCTTCAAGTATATACGATTAACCGAATGCAGCTTAAAGTTTTATGACAACTTGGCTCGTGTTGCCCTTTAATATTAAATCACTAAATATATTAATCACTAACTATCACATGAAGTCGTTACCCTTTACAATGTAAGCCATGCATATTTTA